TCAAGCTTTTCTGAAATTATTAAATATGTTATGAGCCGAATACACGGATCCAGTGTTTGTAATTTTTACGAAGTGATTTAAAACTTTTGTAAAGTTCAGTACTGTTAGAAGTTATTCTGTATGTGCTAAATTTGTCTGAAATGGTACAGTACTTTCCGAAGTGAGCCTAAGCTTTTCTCAAGTTATTCAGCACTTTCTGAAGTGATTCTGAACTTTTGCAAAGTGATTCCAAACTTTCCTAATGAAATGTTATGTCAGTATAGACAGATCCTCGTTCTCTCGGTTTTTGACGGTCTAATTGACCTACATTTGGAAGCGACCAGCACTGTTATTGCCTATCGTAAAATATGAGATCACCAGTTTTTACACATTACAGATGCATGCCAGTTCAACGCATCGTTTGTTGCTTCTCTGTCAGGTGATCTGGTAATAACGGAGTAGCAACCGCGAGCAGTTAATCATTATCGTGCTCAATTATGTTACGGAAGTGTTTTAGCACTGTCTGAAGTTTCTCTGCAGTAATTCATTACTTTTCAAACTGATTCCTAGATTTTTTAAAGTGTTTCAATACTTTCAGAAGAGATTCCAAACTTTTCTGAAGTGATTAAGTTATTACAAAGTGATTCAGCTCTTGAAAAAGTGATTGTAATCTTCAGAGAATTGAAGTACTTCCTGAAGGTTTGGGAACCCAAGTAACAATTTCCAGTTGAAGAAACGCTTTCGTTTTGATTTTGTTCAGCTGCATGTTGAATAATAATTGCACAATGTGTTCACCACAACTTTTACAAAACCCTTGTTTACACTGGTTTGGAGAACCTATACAACTGCAACACAAAGGTGCTGTCTAACGTATTCAGTAAAACGTTTACCCAAAATCAATTTCTTGTTTAAGAAACGCTTCTATTGTGATTTTATTCAACTGCATGCTGAATAATAACTGTACAATTTGTTTATTACAACTTCTGTAAAACTCTTGTTTACACTGGTTTGGAGAACCTGTTCAACTACAGCATTTTATGTATACGCGGTATAGGAGTAGAAGCAACTTTTATACAACGTTTATAGATACATATTTAAACTCAAGCTTTATTATTTTGGTGAAAGCTCTTATACAACGTTGTAGACACTTCTTGACAGCTGCTTTAAAATTTAGTAGAGAGTAAACCTGAGAGGCGTTTGTTGCACTCTTTTATGGCTCCTAAATAATCATTGTACAGCAAGCGGTGAAAAGCGTTTATAGCACTTTTCAATGACTCCTTAACAACCGGATAGAAGCAACTTTTATACAACGTTTATAGATACATATTTAAACTCAAGCTTTATTGTTTTGGTGAAAGCTCTAATACAACGTTTGTAGACACCTCCTAACAGCTGCTTCGAAATGTATTAGAGATTGAACCTGAGAGGCGTTTGTTACACTCTTTTATGACTCCTAAATAATCACTATACAGCAAGCGGTGAAAAGCGTTTATAGCACTTTTTAATGACTCCTTAATAACCGTTGTGTAAGTACTCACAATATTCACAGATTAAAATTAGTTTAACAATTGTCGTGGTACGCCAAAATAATTGCTTGTACAGTTTTATTAATTTAATTTATTTGTGCACATTGAAAAAATATGTAATTATGCCATAATTCACATTCTGTGATCATGGAGGAAGTAATAACAAGCATCTGTTTAATCTTTGATTGATATTCTTTCAATTAATCTCGCTAATCATTAATTGAGAGAATTTATCTAGAAATGTTATCGTTTATTATATGATATATGTCTTAAATTAATGATTGCATTTATTAATAACACCTATATATATAATTTACCTCTACTCCGCCGAGGGTTTCTCGAAGCAAGATTCGAACTCATGATCCCGGATTGCCAGCCGCTTCTGTTTCCATCTGCTCTATTCTTGAATACATATTTTGATCATATGAGAGAAGTATATGAAGCTCATCTTGAGTGACTTCTCTTGCAGTCGAATAATCATTGCCTTATGGTCATATAAACGTGCCTATCACTTGTGCTATTTTTAGCAACAAAATCGTGGTTGGTGGTTGGTCGAACGTAAACAATCATTTAAGAGTGCTCCAAGCAGTTTTTGAAGCTTTTAACCAAATGGCAATACAACTACATTCTTGTACAACTCTGGAAGCTATTATTCAACGTTTGATCAACTCAGGTGTTGTATAAGAGCTCCCAATGGTTTGTTTTGATGCGTTTATTCCACGTTCTGTATAGCTCTTGTGAATCAGTTTAACTAAGGTGCTATAAAAGTTATCGTAGGTCTTATAAAGCATATAAGTAAACCGAACGTAAACAATCATTTAAGAGTGCTCCAAGCAGCTTTTGAAGCTTCTAACCAAAAAGGCAATACAACTACGTTCTTGTTCAACTCTGGAAGCTATTATTCAACGTTTGATCAACTCAGGTGTTTTATAAGAGCTCTCAATTGTTTGTTGGGAAGTTTTTCAGTTATTTCCGGAATTATTTAGTTAAGTCATTCAATACTATCCGAAGAATTTCAGAGCTTTTTTGAAGTGATTCAGTACTGTCAGAATTGATTTCAAACTGTTGAAAAGTGATTAAATTCTTTCTGAAGTGATTTAGTAATTTCGGAAGAGTTTACAAACTATCTGGAATTGTTCAGTACTCTTTGGAGGGATTCCAAACATTTCTGAAGTGTTTCAGTACTTTCAGGAATGGTTTAAATTTTTCTGAAGTGATTCAGTACTTTCTGAAATGATTCAGTGCTTTCTGAAATGATTATGGACATTCTGAAGCGATGCAATATGTCCAAAGCGATTCCGAACGTACCTGAAGTGATTTAGTGCATTCCTAAGGGATTCAACTATTTGCAAAGTGAACTTTCCGTAATGTGTCAGGACTATCCAAAGTGATTTCGAATGTTTATAAAGTGTTTTCGGTCTTTTCTGAAGTAATGCAGTACTGAGTCCAAACTTTTCTGAAGTGATTTCGAACTTTTTATAAGTTATTCAGCGCTCTCTGAAATGATTCAGTACTTCCCGAAGTGATTGTTAATTTGTATGAAGTGATGTAGTACCTTGCCAATTGATTCCGAGGTACTGTCAAGGTGATTCAGTACTTTCCGAAGTGATGTCGTTTTTTTTATATGATTCCAAATATAAAACGAGAGAGAGAGAGAGAGAGAGAGAGAGAGAGAGAGAGAGAGAGAGAGAGAGAGAGAGAGAGAGAGAGAGAGAGAGAGAGAGAGAGAGAGAGAGAGAGAGAGAGAGAGAGAGAGAGAGAGAGAGAGAGAGAGAGAGAGAGAGAGAGAGAGAGAGAGAGAGAGAGAGAGAGAGAGAGAGAGATGGATTAGTAATTTCCATTTAGTTCCACTAACTTATTTGCTTATCTGACACATACGCTTATTTCGTCTACAATGTGCAGATTTCTTCAGTGACTTTAGGTAGTGTCATTAAATGGAAATTACTAATCCTTCTCTCTCTTTCTCTTTATACAGGTATTCCACTAAGACGCCCGCATTCATCAGGATATGATTCCAAACTTCCCTCCCATACCTGACCGTGAAAGAATTTTGAAAGCATCATCATTTCAAAATTTCTATCTTACGCCACTAAGTACCGCCAAACTTTGTTCGCCAATCACCAATAGTGGTTAACCTCAATAAGATGAACTTTTTAACAGTTCACTGGTATTATTTCATTTTTTTTTATATTTCCTCGATCAGTGGTGCCTCTAGCCATAATAATTTTGGCATTTTTGATTGATTGTTACCGTAAAATGTTAATCAGGGGCGCAAGCCATTTCAAATTTAAGATTTTGTCAATTTTCCCCTGAACATATTTACCTACACCATTTCAAATTTATTTTATTTTTTAAATTTCTTCCTGAACGTAAGGGACACAAACTACTTCAAATTTAAAGACTTTTATCAATGTTTAAAATATGTTTTTCCCTGAAAATGTCTACCAAGGGTGCAGGCATAATACATTTATTTTTATTTCTCCGTGATCATATTTCCAAGGGGCCCGAGTCATTTAAAATTTAACATTATTTTTCAATTTTTCCTGCATCATATTTACCAGCAGCGCAAGATTTTTTTCTTCGTAGACTTGTCTACGAAGGACACTACCTATTTCACACATCACGCTTGTCCTAATTTGGTTGTGGCAACTTCTATACAACTTATATCAGGTCATAAACAAGTTGCTGCAACTTATTGTGACGGAAATGTGCTACTCGGGTCTGATTATGTGTAGCAGGGGCGCAAGCCACTTCAAATTTAACTATTTTGATCATTTTTTACCTGTACATGTTTACCCGAGGTGCAAACCATTTCAAATTTTACATATTTTAATTTTTTTTTATACCAGGGGCGCAAGCTATTTTCAATTTGACATTTTTTTGTCAAATTCCCAGAACCAAATTTATTGTTTTTATCATATTTTTCACAACATGTTAATAACGATTTTGTATCCCTGATCATGTATGTCAGGGGGCGTAGACTTTTTCAAATTTCAACCTGAACATATTGACCAGCTCAAGTAGCAATTGGAGTTTTATGAGGGTTCGGCAGACTATGATTTAGACTTGTCGCATGCTTTAAAATCGTGATAAAACTTGAAACGTGTCTTGGGAGGTGCACTCGCTATTTCTCATTTTCACCCGAACTTGTCTACCAGGGGCGCAAGTCACTTGAAATTTAACATTTTTATTCAACTTTTACAACAACTTGTCTACCAAGTGCGCTAGCTATTTAAAAATTTTAATTTTTTTAAAAGATTATCCAGATATAGCATTTTTTTCACTTTTTATGTTGTTTTTGTGCTAACGTAAGAACTCCACGACACTCATAACACGCGACGCGGGACAAGACACAACACTTATCGTTCTTACAACATTTAAAACGGATTAAAAATTACCTTTCTGTCGACCGCCTACGGCCCTCTACGGGACAATGTCCGACTGGTTACAATAGGATTGCTACGCTGTTGTGTAGACGTCCAGAGAAGAGAGTTGTTACTGTATTTTCAGCTTCGTCAAGTTGAACAAAGATGATGTGATGGGAGGATCATCTTCATTCATCAGTGGTTCCTGTGTGTTGTTGATATGCATTGATTCCCATGCATTGAGGTGTGAGGGTTTTCGTACTGTTTTGATGAGCTTCGCACTTTTCCAATCAATTTGATGATTGGAGGCCGTCGTGTGCGCCGCCACAGCTGAATCGTTTGATTTATTGTTGTCGACAGCATTTTTGTGTTCTTTAAGGCGAACTTTTACTTTGCGACGAGTTTGTCCGATGTACACCGAGGGACAATCCTGGCAGGGAATTCGGTAAATTCCAGACTGCTCATCCGCCGGAATCTTGTCCTTAAGGTTACACAACAGGTCGCGTAGAGTGTTGTCGCTTTTGTGTACTATGTGTAGTCCTTGACGTTTGAGTGTGTTTTTGATTGGGTTTGTGACTTTTGGATAAAATGGTAGGCTAATCCTCTTAGCTTCATCCCTCTCCGGCTGTAGTGTGGTTATGTTCTGTAGGCGTTTCTTGCGTTTGTGTTTTTGTAAAATTTTGCTGGTGAACTCCTTTTCGTATCCATTTACTTCCGCCGCCTTGTAGATACGTTCCTTTTCTTCAGCGAACTCTTCTTCCTCCATAGGTACATTATAGAGACGGTGTGCCATAGAGTGGAAGGCGGCTTGCTTTTGAGCGCCGAAGTGATTGGAGTCCGAGGTGATGTATCGATCAGTGGATGTCGGTTTTCGGTAAATACCGAATTTCAACGTGTCGTCCTCCTTTCTGGTGACCATCAAATCTAGAAAGGGCAATTTTCCATCCACTTCTCTTTCTACTGTGAACTTAATTGAGCTGTGGCGGGAGTTCAGCATGTTCAGTGTCTGCTCTAGGTAGCGTTCCTTCACCGGTGCGAAGATATCATCAACATAGCGCCGCCAGACTCGAGGGAAAAACTTTTGCTTTTCAGCATCTACCTCAAAGTCGCTCATGAAGACGTTCGCCAGAAGGGGTGAAAGTTTGCTACCCATACTAAGACCAAACGTTTGCCTATAGAACTTCCCTCTAAATGTGAAAAAATTCTGATTCATACACAACTCAGCCACTAGAAGGTAGGCCTGAATGTGATGGTGTGGCGCCCGACTACGTTCTAAATGTCGGCGCAGGCTTCTCAAGGCGTCGGCGATTGGTACGCTTGGAAATAGTGACGCAACGTCAAACGATACCAAGATCTCACCTCGTCTTACCTTGCATCCTTCTAGCTGTTGTACGAAATCTACAGAATTTTTCACACTTTTGCCGTGTGTGACGGGGTACTGCTTCATCTCCTCTACCAGCCAAGCTGCCAATTTTTCGGTGGGTGTACGGATGTTTGATGAAATGGGTCGCATCCGAACTGGATTCTTGTGGATCTTCGGTAGGCAGTACAGCGATGCCACCGTCGGGTTGGGAACGTGAAATTTCCGTATGAGTTTTTCTTCACCCATTAAACGCGCTACATTCTGCCGAGCGAAATTCGCTTCGTCGATCATCACATTCAGCGGGTCTTTGGTTTTGCCGTTTTTGAATTTATGTTTCGATCATTGCACGGACGCGAGAGTCGTAATCTTCCCTGTCCATAATCACTACCGCGTTTCCCTTGTCCGCACGAGAGTAGATGACGTCACGTGTTTTCAACAACCGAATCGTACACCAAGTTTCAAAATTGGGACGGTCTGTGCTATTCTGTTTACCAGCCGTTCGCATTTTTTCCCCTGAACTTGTATATTAGGGGCGCTATCCACTTTAAATTGAACGGTTTGAATCATTTTAAACATGCTTACCAGGAGCGCAAGTCATTTCAAATATATCCTTTTTTAATGTTTTCCAGAACCCGTTTATCGGGGGCACAAAACATTAAAAATTTTAAGATTTTGATAACTGAACTCGTATACAAAGGGGCGCTTACCATTTCAAATTTACTGATTTTTAAATTTACCTGAACATGTATATCAGACGCTAGTTATTTTTTTAACTTTTCGTCGAACTTGTTAATTGGGGGTGACTTGGGTGCAGTGTAATTTTAATATTTAACATTTGCGGTGAGATTTTGCTCTCATTGGATTGCTGTATTTTACTTATTTTGTAAACATTTTTTTTTCGGTTTGCAGCTAAGTAGTGCCGACTACCCACAACCACAGCACTGCGTTCGGTAGAATGATTGACATCATCGTTTTGAATGATTTGCGTTATGGGGCTGAACCAATATTATATGCATTTCAATTTAATATGACAATCATTCCGCAGAGAACATTATGATTCATCTGATTTCAAAACAACCGTCATCCGGTTATAGCTATCATTCGAAGAAACGATTTCGATGTGTCGATTTGAATGGTCTGAGGTTTCATTCGAACAGAGGACGATGTTTTGGTACAGTGTGATTGTCGGGTGCCAATAGCGGACCCAAACATCTCCTACACGCCAACCTGAAGACCCGCGATCGCTTCGCTGTCCTCTGCCACCATCATCAGTGTGTCGTAAAGAATGCTTTCCGCGAAATCAAAATAAGACGTGTGCTAAGCCCTGGCCGCAAAGACAAAACGAACCAAGCGGGAGCAAAACAAACCCAAAAGAAACTACTGACGGCGATACTTAAAATCCAACTTGGAAACCTGAAGATCGGCAAAAACAAAACTAAAGCAACGAAACGGAAAGAACATCCGTTTACTCGTAACCTACCCTCAACGTTTTGCCTGGTTCCATCAACTCAGAAGGATGAAACGAGCGAGAATACAAATTAATGGACGTTTTTTGATGTCTTAATTATGAAGCAGTTTGGGGCACTGAATGGAGCACCTTTTATTCTTTTTTTTTTTTGTCGTTTTGGTGAAACTGAAAAACACTGACTGACTGGATGGTTAAATGAACTGACTGCATGTCTGAACATTCGGTTCGCCCGTCAGCATATGAAGGTAGGTACATGCCTGCGGATAGAGATTGGCATTATTTGTTGACGAATGCGAAGAACGGACGACTGATGCATTCCGCTGTTGGGATGTGAAGTTGATGTCGATCGCGGACTTGATTAGCGAAGAACGATTTATGAGAATTGTTAGCATTTTTGAGGGTTTAAAGTTGCTAGTTCATACATCAGCTTGTTGGAATTTTAACGGAAGGTGGTCTGTGATTTCAGTTTTTGTGAAAGAAGTGCGGGAAGTGCAAGATTCACTTACAGAGTTGTATAAAAAAATTGCAAAATCTGTAATAAGACTGAGATTTAATTTCCAATTAACCAAGCACATCCCCACAATCTTTGTTTTAACTCATTTGTACAATAAAATGGATTTTTTTTCAATGTGTTTATTTTTCCGGGCTCATTTACCGTAGCTTTGCGGAGCCGACATTCATCGTTTGGGTTACAAAATTACTCAAAACTAACATTAGTAAAGCGGGGGCCGATTCCTCGCGGTTATCTTGAGGTTAGGGGTAACAAATTGTAACAAATGGGTGGCAGGGTAGGGATTGAGAACACAAGGTGTTTTCGAGCAATGTGCTCTTGATCGTATTGGTAATGGCGAACGTTATAGTTTATTCCGCAGTGCTGTGATAAATATTCAATTAATTAAGTGTGAAATTGTGCTTGTGCCGCGGTAGAATTGATCCTACGCGTGCCCCGTAGTGATAATTTATTGGATAAGTAGGAGAACGGTTACTGTTGCCGCTGGTTCTCGTTCAATTTTTGTGTTTTCCCTTCGCCCGGCAAGCTATTTGGTACCCTTTTAGTAAGCTACGGCATTGTAAATTTTTGCTTTTGTTCGTTTTTACTTGTGTCTCTGTAGTGTTGCATGTAAAGTTTATGTGTATAGGTGATATATATGGCTGAGTGTGCAATGTGTAATTTGGGGATTTTGGTAAGTGATTTGCCGGTTATCTGTGTGGGTAAGTGTGCTCGTGTATTTCATTGCAAGTGTACTACACTCACGCGGACTCAGGCAAAGCTTATCACAGATAATGCAAATGTTCTATTCAAGTGTAGTAATTGTCTGTCAGATCAGAGTTGTGACGAGCAGAATGTATCGGTTTCGGATACCAAAATGATGGGGGAAGCAATGAAGCAATTGTCTTCTGTTGCTGACTCTATCTCTGGTATACGAAACAACGTTGCTGCTCAGATAGACAACGCGTTGAGAATTGGCATGGAAAAAATGCAACAAAATTTGAGCGATTGATTAAGTTGCTTTGAAAAATTTATAAGTGAGAAATGGAATACGATTTTTTTCCTTTGGTTTGTTTTTTTCCGTCGATCTTGTTTTCCGTGCTGAGCACCAATGCTACCGACGTGCCAGGAAGGCAGCTCCCACACCTGGACCCTACCTATCGACCCATCAACTCATGAACCGGGGGGACCAACGGCTTTACTTCCCATCCGAAAGGAAGGCGTGATCAGAGATGTTATGCCTCAGAACATCCCGGCGGCGCCGACTGGGATTGAACTCAGGCCTGCTGGGGTGAGAGGTAATCACGCTTAACACTGCACCACCGGCGCCGTTTAAATGGAATACGATGACTAGTTCATGTTTTGAAATTAGTACAGAAAAAAATTTAGCTGCAACGAATGGCGCATCTAGGACGGTTCATTCTGAATCGGACCGAAATCCCAGACGCAAAAAACGTAAATTTCAAAATAGTGACAACGATTCGACTGATGATGTTTTTCAAGAAAATGCGAGTTTTGCGGATGTTGTAAAAAGATCTAGTCATGCAAGTAAAAGTAAAAATATTAGTAACAGTAACAGTAACATTAACAGTAACAGTAAAGAACAGAGTAATCGTAAGACTCGTCCGGTCATTGTGATCAAACCAAAAGAGTCCAAACAAGCTTGCGAAGATACTCGTAAGTTTTTGAAAACTCAGTTGGATCCAAAAACACACAAAATCAGTAATTTTAGGAATGGTAAAGATGGCTCTATTATTGTTGAGTGTGCAACAGGAGCTAATCTAAATGATGTAAAAACTGGTATTGAAAGCAATCTGGGTGAAAAATATAGTGCTGTTGTTCCCACTTTGGTGCCAAGATTGAAAATAGTGGGCATGAGCGATCAGTTTTCCTCCGATGTCTTCATTGACTACTTAAAAAGTCAAAATGAAGACATCACTATAAATGATGTTAAAGTAGTGAACATGTTTGAAAATCCACGCTTAATTTATAACAAGTTTAGTGTTGTAATTGAAGTCGATGTCGATACTTGTTAATGTTTGTTATGTGCGAAAAAAGTAAATGTAGGGTTTGATCGGTGCTCGATAGTTCCCGCGATTAATGTGTTGAGATGCTTCAAATGTGGAGAATTTGGGCACAAGAGCATGGATTGCAAAAATTGTGATCGATGCTCTAGGTGCAGCCAACAACACAAAACGTCGGAGTGTACGTCAACTGTATTGAAATGTATTAATTGTTTGAAAACGAATAAAGAACGAAAAATGAACTTGGACGTCAACCATGCCGCATTTAGCTCGGAATGTTTGCACTATAAAAGACTTTTTGATCAGAAGAAAAGCAGCTTGCGTTTCAATAAATAGATGAATCTAACTACTAAATCCTCAGATCAATCCGTTTTAAAAACACATAAATTAAATTAAAATAATCGGGATCTCGACTCGCCAAGATGTCTCTAACGGGCATAACGAGGTTATTTTCCTCGGACCCTGAGGGATGCGGATAAGTTGGATCTAGCAACACAATGTAGGGTGCATGACCAAAGCACGTGGTCGATATCGTGCTAGCCACTATAACAAGCGCACAAATTGCTGATTCTTAGAGATGTACCCACATTTTGTTAATGTTGTAGTAACTACAGAAAACAGGTTGATTACCGGCAGGTATCCAAATTGTCAAAAAATGGCCTATTTTCTCCGTGGGCGGGATTTTTTATTTCTTAATATTTTGGGCTCAAATTTTCACCACACTTTGGAAAACTCTTCTACTTGATGTGTAGCAAATGATTTGGACAAACAGTTTTTGCGATATGACCAGATGAGTGAGTTGGAGTTT